TATCTATTTTTACATGTATCATTAATAAACATGTCAATGTGACTTTTAAGCCACATTAAAAAAAAAACTTAAAGGTAAATCATTCATTATATTTAAGCTTCTGTGTTAATATAAATACAGCATGTGCCTACAAAAAAAACAAAGAAATGTAAGGTTCATGACTTAGTCTGACTTGGAAGTAAATACAAGATTGAAAACTTCATCCCCACTTCATACATTGCATTGAGAATTCAGGATGTCCTCCGACATAAGAAATATCCTGCAACATAAATTCCAGTGGTACAGGGCCATTTTAACACCCATCTTTGCCATTTTTTTTTTTTTTACGTCAAATTGAAAATGCTTCCACATCAAAGTTTGTTACTCATCATACTTGTTATACATTATTCTGTGCGATGCAATACTGTTTCATATTTATCATGACAGGCCTTTTATAGCTAGCCGACTATATGGTATGGATTTTTCTAACTGTTGAAAGCTGTATGGTTGCCTATAATTACTTACATCCATTTCATTTGAACTTTTGTGTATAGTTGTCACATTTGCAATCATACCACATCTCTTTATTTTTATGAAAAAATCTTTCTGATTCATCAGTAATTCTAAATTTATTTTTATGTTCTTCTATGCACAATCAACCTTCTAACCCTAGGCACTACCTCCACTGAAGCATGTCACAAAGAAGAACTGGGATGCACAACATTTTTTATGGAAAGGGAACAATCTAAATAATTTAAAATAAAAAATTTGCCTGAAAGTTCACATTATCAACATTTCTATTTTTATTTTCATATCCATGTTAAAAAAAAATATACTACAAGGGGGTGTTTAACAACCTTGACTACCCATGAAGGTCTCGCACAAAAAATATGTATATATATATCATTCTACTTGGAATACTAAACAATGTATTTTTGTTTTTGACATATCAAATTAACCTTTTTTGTATATTTGTAGGCAATTCTTTTTTTTCTATCTTAAACAGTTGAATCAATCAAACGCTAATTAAATGTTTTCAGTCTTATTTGCATTTAAAAGTCATTAACAAAATTATCCCAACAGCATACAAATGAAACATATTGAACATACATAAATTTACACTGTCAGAATAAATAAGAAATGAATGAAAGACCAACGCTAGAGTGTCAAGAAAAGAGCCTGTATCAACAGGCAACTACTCATACAAAGTCCCTCCTTACATTTACCAGTTTATATGGTAGCATAATATATCTATAGGAAGATGTGGTATGAGTGCCAATGAGACAACTCTCCATCCAAGTTACAATTTATAAAAGTAAACCATTATAGGTCAAGGTAAGGCCTTCAACACGGAGCATTGGCTCACACCAAACAGCAAGCTATAAAGGGCCCCAAAAAATTACTAGTGTAAAACCATTCAAACGGAAAAACCAACTGTCTAATCTATATAAAAACGAGAAACGAGAAACACGTATGAACTACATAAACAGACGATAACTACTGTAATCAGATAAACCTGCATTCTCCATTGACAGCTATTGTTTTGAAACAAGACATTTGGAATAGGTCAGGACTTTTTTGTTTATAAAAAGCTTAAGCCTCCTCTTTGAAAAAGAAAAGATATATCTTATTGTACTTTTCCCCTTAGGTCAAATATAAAATATATGTACTGAAATAGCAGCACTATTGGATGATTCAGCCTAGACAATGCTATTACCGGATGTAAATCTTCAACTAGATTTCAAAAGTTAATAAAACTGCATAATTAAAGATCAGTGACCATGTGACTGAGCATTAGTGTTCACCTAAAACTGACCAAATACCAAACTTTATCATGTAAACTATGCAAAAGTTCAAAAGTCGATAGACCAGAAGTGCATAAATTCAATAGGTAAGGTAAGCAAACTTTCTGAGAACTTTTCAATGATCTAGGTTGAAAACTGCAGGAGTAGTAAATTACATAAAAATGGTACTGTCTTATTGAAAACTTGCTGAAAAAATGATTAAATTCCAAAGTCTGTAAAATCAGAAAAAAATCCTCAAACATTTCCATAATAAAATGTCCACATTTTCAATAAGTGTGCAATTTTTATGAGAAGTATGAAGAATCTTGGTTGTAAACTGTAGGAGTAAATAACAAAAAATTGGAACCATCTTTGTTTATTTTGCTGAAATATGACTAAGTTCCCATGTTTGGAAAAATCTTTCTCACCATAATAACAGATTCACAACTTCAATATGTGTTCTAATATATCACAAAACACTCTTAAAGAGTTGAATACACACAGGGTTCTCACTAAGGCGAGTCCATGAGTCCTGGAAAATCTGTCTTGACTGGTCATTTTCAAAACTGGTGAGCCCAAAGATGCATCCATTGTAAAATGTTGTATCAAATGACCACATATATCATCATTTTGTAACATGTGTAAAAGTTTATAAAAAATCGAAATTTGATGTCATTTCCTTGATTTATTTTGTCATGGGGGCTGAAATAATAAATTATATAAGCAATCAAATTTCTTCTTCTCAATGTTGGACTCATCATGACCAAAACTGACTCGCCTTCAAAAATCCTAAGTGAGAACCCTGTACACATAACAGGTACCCTATGATCCTAGTCTGTCTCACATGATTCAAATTATCACTTGTATTTGTAGTATTTGTAATTTTATCCATCTGATGAGTTAAGCCTCTTTCAACTGATTTTTATAGTTCATTCTTATGTTGTACTGTTACATCACTGTCCCAGGTTAGGGGGAGGGTTGGGATCCTGCTAACATGTTTAACCCCGCCACAGTCTGTATGTATGTGCCTGTCCCAAGTCAGGAGCCTGTAATTCAGTGGTTGTCGTTTGTTTGTGTGTTACATATTTGTTTTTCGTTCATTTTTTGTACATAAATTAGGCCGTTAGTTTTCTTGTTTGAATTATTTTACATTGTCATTTCGGGGCCTTTTATAGCTGACTGTGTGGTATGGGCTTTGCTCATTGTTGAAGGTCGACGGTGACCTATAGTTGTTAATTTCTGTGTCATTTGGTCTCTTGTGGAGAGTTGTCTCATTGGCAATCATACCACATCTTCTTTTTTATATCATAAGATTGTTTTTCACATCCTGCGAAAGGATTTAAACAAAAATATGTCAAAAATTGGAAACTTAAATACTGTATTTGGCAAACAAATAGTATTGTTTGATGTAGGGAAAACATTTCATCCTATTCTAATCTCTTTTTATCAAGGCCACTAGTACATGTACAATGTATGTGAATTCTTAGGGTAAGCTTAGTTTTCCTGTCAAAAAAGTGGAAATTTGATTCTTCAAAAACATTGTGTTCAATATGATATATTTAACATGAAAAACATGATTCTAACATTTTGTAGATCTCAACCATCCTTGAAGTATCTTAAAATCAAAGAGACAAATTCAATTGTTACCTATTTAGTAACGTTAGCTTACTTATTTTGTTCTGTCAATTGCATGGAATGTAAAATGATGTCATGTTCTTACCAGTAGTTGGAACAGTTTAACATGTATGTGCACCTTACTATGAAGTTAAAGACATTTATATTTTCTTTTTTTAACTTACACATAAGATTTTTTTCTACAGCAATTGGACCGAAATTAAGTCACGTACATGTTTCTATCTAAGCAAGTAAGGAACTTAAGACATTATTCATAACACAAACAAAATTAGCATCAAATATTTTTATAATAAATGAAAGACATGAAAATACTTTTATCAATCCTTAGATGATGCAAAGTTAAATAATTGATATTTCTAATTTCCTTTTGGTCAAGTACGTTCATTTATTGTAGGATGCACAAAAAGATGGTTATAGATGATTCTTGCATATGCAGGTAAATACAAACTGTAGAGTCGGACTAGACCATGATTTGGTTAGGTATACATAGCTTATACATGCACATACTGGCCTGTCATACTTGTGTCTAATGCATCTAGGGAACAATATATCTTGTAATTTGACCAGACAAAAGGAACCAAGGGATGAGGAAAATGACATGCTGATTTGTACATACTTGTCTTACCTAAAAATAGGTATTGGAAACTGTGGAATCATTTGTGTCATCTGCCACTGCTGTTGTCAGTGTAAAAAAGTAATGCTGACTGCCAGAAAATTAAGTCCATTTATCAGTAATATACTGATTATGAACAAGCTTCTATCAAAGTGTAAAAAAAAAATAGATGAAGTTTTTGTCCAAGTTTCATAAAATTCCAATGTTTGACAGAGTTATTAATTGCAAAAAAATCTTTAACCACAGACTGAACCTATGTGCTGACAATGACAAAAGAATGAAGGATCACTTTATGTCGCCTTTGTGACTTTCATTGCAAGCAAGAAGATAATACAGGCTAATTCTAATCATATTCCTTCTTAGTTTAGATTTATATTTTGTTTTTAGTTTACATTTAATATTATAAATTATGCAAGCAAGCGAAATTTCGCCTCTAATAATGGAGGAATGTGAAGGAATGACACCTGACAATAGAGTCTGACATCCTTTTTTCTTTGAACATGCTGAAGCTAAATTGTATGCATACAAGTACTCATTCAAATAATTGTTCATATATATTTTTTGTAAGTAACTTATGTACTACTTTTATCCATATAAAGATGGCATTTATATATAATAAATTTTGTCTCCAACAACATTTATGCGACCCTCAATTATGGAAAAGATTAGTCTTTGTTTTCTGGTCTTTGTCAGTGATATCTAGTTGTAGACTTTGTAATATAAAAATTCAGAGGGTATCTACAATTCAAAAGTTTAATACAGTGGGTTAACTTATAACGACTTATCCTAATACGAGCATTTTTTGTTTTGCTTTCGTTTGCTGTTCTGGATTTATATCTACGTGTACAATAAATATTTTCACTCCTTAGAATTTAAAACTTTCAATGTTATCTCTAATGTGAAGAGAACACCTGGATAAGAATTTACTAAACTTTTGACTGATGTGTTTTAAGTAAAAACAGAAAGAAAACTTTTAAAATTTGCTGTACCTGATTCCCTGCGCCCTTTAATACAAAGACTAGTAAGCCTAGTATCCACAGGGCACATAGGAGTACCACGAATCTGTACTTCCTCCGCAACATCTATTTTTCGTGTGTGGCAATCACATCATGGAGTATTCAAGAGTGCAACTTTTTCAACCAATCAGAAATGACAAATCAATTAACCGCGGATTACAATAACAGTCCCACGTGTACTATCAATCATGAATCAGCTGTTAAACAGGTAAATAGTTGCCGTGAAACTTTAGCGTGGCGGAAACGAGATTCTTCAGCGAAATCGGATATAAGCATATGTCATTTATTACGAATTAATAAAAGCATATAATCCACCAGAGACATATAATACAACCAAAGACAAAGTATTATAATTATTTTAGACAAACAAATATATATAATATAATAAATTATTTCTGTTCGGAAGTAACACAGATTCAAAACAGTTAATCCACCCGTGGCGTTTTACATTTACATGCGAATTAACACAATGTTTAAACTGGAGACACTAATACATTAAATTTTAAATAAGCAAAAATACTAATTATTTAATACATACACTGTATACAAGAGCACATAATATCAGGAACATATATATATTAATTAGATATAATGTTCCCAGATAATATATAGTACAATTAGGTAGAACTAGAGACATATTCTGTGTATATATGTCTCTGGTAGAACAATAACATTGACTCAAGCAAAAAAAATATGTGTATAGCAAAAAGGCATAACATTATAAGATAACTACGAAAATAAAATTGAGAATGGAAACGGGGAATGTGTCAAGGGGACAACAACCCGACCAAAGAGCAGAAAATAGCCCAAGGCCATCAATGGGTCTTCAACACGGCGAGTAAATACCGCACCCGGATGCGGGCTTCAGCTGGCACCTAAACAAAAATGTATACTAGTTCACTGAAAATGGACGTCACTCTAAGCTCCGACACATATAAATGAATCAAGATTAGTAAAAAAAAACATACAAGATTAACAAAGGCAAGAGGCTCCCGATTTGGGACAGGCGCAAAAATGCGGCGGGGTGACTGAAACATGTTTTGTGAGATCTCAACCCTCCCCCTATACTTCTAGCCAATGTGGAATAAACAAACGCACAGCAATAAGCACAGTAAAATTCAGTTCAAAAGAAGTCCGTGTCCGATATCAGAATAGGAAACAAAATAAATTGAGAATGGAAATGGGGAATGTGTCAAATAGACAACAACCCGACCATAGAGCAGACAACAGCCGAAGGCCACCAATGGGTCTTCAATGCAGCGAGAAACTCCCGCACCCGGAGGCGTCCTTCAGCTGGCCCCTAAACAAATATGTATACTAGTTCAGTGATAATGGACGTCATACTAAACTCTAAAAAATAAAAGAAACTAAACAAAATGACAATCATTCATAAATAAAAAAAGGACTACTAGCAGTTACTGACATGTCAGCTCCAGACCTCAATTAAACTGATTGAAAGATTGTGTCTTCATCATATGAAAATCAAGCACAATCCCTCCCGTTAGGGTTTTAGTATCATACCATCATAAAATATATTAGAAGAACATAAACCGTATCATAGTTCTCCTCCTGCATTTTTTTTTTAAAGTGACACGGTGTTTGAATGGTTTTACACTAGTCATTTTTGGGGCCCTTGTGAGCCAAGGCTCCGTGTAGGAGGCCGTACTTTGACCTATAATGGTTTACTTTTAAAAATTGTGACTTGGATGGAGAGTTGTTTCATTGGCACTCATACCACATCTTCTTATATTTATTGACAATTTGTTTTAAAACATTTACACTTTATAATAATAAAGTATACGCAATAATATACTATTTTTTGTTCAACTTTCATACACAAATATTCTTTTCAATTTTATACGGGAACACAATGGTTTTCTCCAAACCAAGGACACCTTCAATGTTGTTTTAAACTAATTTTCAAAAGAGACGAAACACTTTTCTTATTTCACTTCCCTTATCGGAAACAAACATTTTGTTGCCCTGAGATTTAGAAAAAAAATTTAACGACCCTTTTTTCAACACTGATGAATGGTCGGTGCCTCATACCGTTAATACAGAGTTTACTATAAGTGTTCTCTAGATGAACAAACGCCCTATCAAAATAACAAATCTAGCCGACGGGACTATTAACTGTGTGTGATATATCAATACAGTTTAATTCCAAGTTTTGACTTCACTCCGATTTAAATACATGGGCCTGAATTGACTGAATTGAGGGTTTGGCGATGACCCAAGTCAATTTGGGAATACGAAGTAGAGCAGAATAGATTAGTACAACAGTGTCAGCGTTCTATGGGTATCCATAGGTATTACCGTAAATAATTATATGAACAAAATCTTTGTCTTTTCATTGAATTTCAAGAAACTCGCTGTGTGCGGCTAGTACAAGTGCCGGACCTCATTTTTTGTGTGTGTTTTTTTGCATACCAGTTTGTTATTTATTAAGTTGCACCAGTAATATTTTCCGTCTCATAAATGAATTAAAGTCGATTGGAGGGTTTACCTCAATGAGACAGCAACACACCGATGATATTAATCTATTGACGTTTTGAGGCAAGACTTAGTGTTTATATGTCAACTAAACATAAAAAACAAAAATCTTTCATTGATGCCAAATTCTAAAAAAAAAAACGAACACACTAAAAATTCATTAAGATATGATATAAGACATTTTGACTTGAGGCAGGTACATGAACATTTGTGGCGGGGTTAAAAAAAAATTTTAAAATCTCAACCCTCCGCTACATTAAGAAGTCCATGGAGGAAATATTTAAATCCCACTCTTTCTTAGAGCAAAACATACGTAAAGAGTCTTTTAACATAACGCAAATTTCAAGAACCACCTCATTTCCCATCATCTAACGTGTACATCAATATGTTAGTATTCATATGTCCATTCAAAGTTAAGAACCTCTTCAGTTGATTGTAGTGTTTTATTCCTTTCGCGAATTTACAGAGTCTTAAGAGCTTTGTGTTCTCATAATGTCAGATCTTTGAAAGTCTCTGATGAAGTTTATTTCACAATAACTTTTTAGACTCTAGTTGGTAAATTGCAAATTTGTGACTTTAAAAAAAAATTGTGTGGTTATATGTTTATATAAATTTTAGACAATAAGGCACACGCCCAAGCGCTTTATAGACAGTTCTGATATTAGACAAATGCATACTTATGGATTTAAAATCTGTTTTAAGAGCTAAAATAGAACGCATGTTCAAGATAGATTTATTAATATAAATAAACAAACCATTAATGCTAGCATGGGGTTCAAAGTTTATCCCCAAATTGGTCTGATATAAGAGCATTCGGGTCTATTGACATGAATAAAGGAATAGCAGACTTGTCACAGTGTGAAACATATTTAAAAGTAATCTTCATTTAAGGACAAAGTGATGACGGACTACTTACTTACTCCGGTATACTGAGAAGGAGCTACACACGTTTTTCAAAAAAGCTAATTCATAATGCCAATCACGACAAACATATATGAAATGTCTGTATCTTGAAACGATATCTTTGAATAATAAATGATATCTACAAGAGTACAATATTTTACGAAAAGGACTGTTCGACAATCGTGCTCTTACAAAAGATAAAAGAAGGAGATGTGGAATGATTGCCAATGAGACAACAACTACATATAAAAGAGAGTATATAAATAACGTGGTTAAAGCAATTCTAGATAATTGCACGACCTTCAACAATGAGGAAAACTCATACCGTATAGTCAGCTATGAAAGGCCCCGACATAACAAATGTGATAAATTTTATCGGTAAATACGCCCTGATTTATGACAAGACAATAAAAAAAAAACAGATATAACAGACAGCAACCAACGACAACTACTGAATTACAGGCTCCTGACATTAGATAGGCACATAAAAATGCGGCGGGGTTAATCATATTTGTGAGCGCTCAATCCTCCCTTAACTTGGACAATTGTATAACAGTGCAACATGGAAAAACTGTAAAAGTCAGTTGGAAATGGCTTGAATCACCAGATTGGCACGAATCACAAAACAAAAATAAATAACTTACGTGAAGACAAATGACATGCACACGTACCGATTTAAGAGTACTCGCAGTTACTAGTTAAAGACAATTACTACCAATACAAAAATCATGTTATTCCAGACTAAAGTATCAATCAGTACACATTCAACGGATTTAGTGTAAAGACGTCATAAACAGTCGGAGAAAAGCATGGCTTTATGCAATGCAAAAATATGAGTACATGTTTTCGAAAAAATTAATGACTGTAATATTTTTTCTGTCTAGGAAGAAATAACATAAAAATGTGGTGCACACTGAATAACCCGCGTAGTCATTCCTTATAATTTAATTATAAATTCCATTTTTAAGGAGTAAATCATGAAAAAAACGTTGATGACGTCACGTTCACATGACAAAATTATGTCTATGAGCTGATAGACAAAAAACTTTCAGCCAATCAGAAGACATCCAAAATAAAATTACTACCCGTGATTCCCCGTTTACACTAATTTATATTTACCAACAGATTTGTTCATAATACAGCCACGTTACACCAGAAGGAATTAGGTGAAACTATAAGACACAATAATAATAATAATGAGACGATATAAGATTCAGAAAGAGGTCTAAAACCGCAAGAGTTCATTACTACTTATTAACAGAATTTGAAAAATAATTAAAACAACTTGTGTGCTTGTGTGAGTGCGGGGGGGGTCATTGACAACCGAGTCGTCTACGTTGACATTGAGTAACACCAATGACAAATCCAGGAATATCGAAAGGGATGAACATTGTGTCTGAAAGGTGGGACAGCAATACAAATCAGATGATATGTACCAGAACAACAAATTTTCTATCAGAAGGGGGTCTTGTCGCCCTCCCTCACCTCACAAAGATGACATGTCTTTCTATACGAACTGACCCAGGTCAAATTTGGATCAATGTATGGATCTTGTACAAAGCAGGGTATATTCATATGACATTTACAAAAAATCGTTCTTACTATATGCATATCATATTGGCAACAATCAATCATTTTCATAACAACGATACACAATTTTGTTTATCTCATAGTTGTATATTTAAGAGATATGGTTTCACAAATTGCTGCGTGGTTTAGGATCC